GTGTGTGTGTGTGTGTGTGTGTGTGTGTGTGTGTGTGTGTGTGTGTGGGTGGTCTCTCTGAGATGCAAACTAGCTATTTTTCCTTGAACCATATGTTAAACCTGTTCAGCCTCACTGGTGTGTGTCTGCTTCATAATAAGGGTGTTTGTAGAAAACACACACTGTGTACTACATATTTTGCATTGAGGGGAGGGGGGGGGGGTGGGGCTTTACTAGTTTCAACCCGGTGACTCTAGATGCTGTAACTTGTGACTCCCAGTGCAGCACAGACTTGTCTCCTGTTGTGAAGATCCCGGCCCGGCTTTCAGATTCAGGCTACACATTTCCATAAGGTTTGGGGAAAATCCTCGCACATTTTCATATATGTAAAATCTCAGTGTGTTTTGCCAGCTAAACAAAGTTTGGTTGATGTAGGGCACAACCGCTAAAAACCCTTTCCCATCTAGTGAACTGAAATAGAAACTAAAATATAAACTCCACTATGATGTAGGGTTGCCTCACATAATGATGTACAATCAAGATTCTGAATGGAAATCTTTTGGACACATTGTCTCCAGAGTCACATACTTTACATGAGGTGTTCAACAATCCACAAGATCTGTTTTAAGTATCTCTTGTGCTTTTGAGGGCGACTGTGGCTGTGGATAGCAGGGCTGTCTTTCAATCAGAGGCTTGGCGGTTCAATCCCCAGCTCCGATGCTCCGATGTGTCCTTGAGCAAGACACTCCAAAATTGCTCCCGTAGTTGTGATTGTAAGTCGCTTTGGATAAAAGCGTCTGCTAAATGACTGTAATGTAATGAGACAGAGAGCCCTCAATGGAAACCTGCTTTGAATAATGTGGCTGAGAGTGCTTCTGCAACAGAGTCACAAGATCCCTTTCCTACTTTGCTTCAACAATAACTGTGTGAAAACTTGACCATTCTATACCATGTTACACTCTTACTGGAAATGAAATTGACCAGCAGCTCTGCAAGTGCAAGTTTTTGTCTGTGCTCATCAACCTGTAATCCACTTCTTTCTTTTATTAAGCTGCTAATGTTTTTGTAATGTTGTAAACAAGATAAGACTCGGGGCCTGCAAGATAAGTGCCAGGTGTTAATCCGCCACTAATCCTTCGCCCGCTCATTTAGCAAAGTTACATATTTCACAGTGTGATTTGGATTTGTCTCTTATTCTCTCTTCGCCACTTGTTTTTGTATGTGAATATGTTATTCTCTGACCGGCCACACCTTAACAACAGGCTGAGGTCATTTTCCTGGAGAGTGAACAGATTGAGTTGAAGCTGAACTCTTCTTTCCCTCCCGTCTCTCTGCACTCTTGCTCTTTGCTCAGACCGTATACTGAATATTGTGTTGGATGCTACTTGCACTTTTAATGTGTTTGTGTCTGTATTTGTGCTTGCTAGTATGTAAATACACACCTAACCTATCTACTGCTATTTTAAAATAAGTTGTAAGAGGAATGTTTGCACGTTGCTGATAAGAGCTTGTGTGTTGTGTTATGTAAATAGAGTGCTACACAATGAAGTGAACGTCATTTTCTCTCTTTAGGAGTCCGGTAGTGGGGAGGATGACCGCCGCTCTCAGCCGAGGAGGTAAGACACATCCCTTATGTCACCTCGGTGCAAAAAAAAAAAAAAAAACTAAACCTTTTTCCAGTTTCCCCACAAAAAGGATGTGCAGTGAGATTTATTATAAACCAGGAGTTTGGATAACGGTGACGTTGTAGTGCCAGGCCGAGTGGTTAATAAGACAATGAGCGTCTACTGAAGTGTCTGAACAGAGGACCTGTTATGTTGCTGCCCCTGACCTCTGACCTGGACCAAAGGCGGAGGAAATAGACTTTACGTGAAGAAGCACTTGATGATGAATCACTAAATGCGTCTGACCCTGCAGAACTTCCTTCCCGTCCTGATACAGTGAGCTGCTGTGCTATTGTGGTCTTACAATCGGCTTCTGTCCCTCGTTGCCTCTGGCATTGTACTGAAGTCGGAATCTGGTTTATCCTGTTTCACTCAAATGCATCTGCAACTGTTTTGTTAGTCCATCAGCAATTTCCTTCAACTGCCTACGGCGTTTATTTGTTCTAGACACACGTGATACCCGTGAACTTAAGTTTCAGTGACACTCTTCCAGCTTTGTTTTGTTTGGCCCTTTTAATAACAGATGGAATCTTGAAATGCTCTCACGTTTTAAGATGATTAACTGCGGTTCGCTAGCTGTCCAATAGAGGGCAGTGGGCCCCATGTGAGTCAGGTCTGTGTATGTGGGTCAAGGGATCCAGGGGCAGATCGGTAGCCCCTCCCAAAGTCAGAGCGCCTCTGTGTCTGTCTGGTCATTGGAGCTCTCTGCCATCATACTGAGAGGGCTTTCTGTATTTGTGCAGCTGGGAGTGAAATCTATATTCACACAGTGAGGCTGTGTGTTTGTGTGTGTTTGAACACAGATAGGTATGGGCGCAGATGTCATTTACGGTATTTTGTCAACTAATATTGTTTTTAAATTTCTTGTTTTGAAGTTCTAAGACTATTTGACCATTGATGCTGCCCTTTCATACAGACATACACATTTAGCTAAATGTATTGTTTTCAATCATGGACTGTAAAAGCAGGGGTCCTTTATGGAATATGCAACGCCACGACCTCTTTACTTGTATGAACATGCCATTAAATGTTTCAAATGAGCAAATACCAATGTATGAATATCAAGTTAGGAGCTGGGCCTTGTCTTGACTTCAGGATAGCGGTGTTATACCGGGCTGCAGAGGCCAGGAGATATTGGAATTAGTTTGACATCTGAATGGTGGAGTGTTGTTGGATGTTAAGATTGGTTCATTTGTATTGCTCTGGGTAGTGGCTCACTCCTTCTCTAGTGTGACACTTTCATTTCAGTTTCTGTTAGTTTAACAGTTAGTCTAGGGCCAGCACTTGTGTCGTGTCTAATAAAATAGTCACATATTTATTTGTTGAGCAATTGTGAACAAATAACACAGGAACACAAAGTATTGTACATGTTACTGTCTTAATTCAGTCCAAGCTCTAGCTGTAGTGTATTCACATGGGCTGAGGTGTTTTGGCAAAGAGACAAAAAAAATCATTCAATATAAGTGAGCCTGCCCACTGAAATACTGACTTAATGTTCCCGTATGATGACGTCGTCTGTGTGTGCGTCGTGCCTTAGAAGCCAGCAGCTGCTGCAGAGCTCATCTTTGACACGGGGAGTAACATTCATTCAGACTGTAATGAGGCTTTAGTGATGCAGTGTGTTTGTCTGCATAAGCAAGGCTGCAGCGCTGCTGATTAAAGTCAGTGACATCAGCTAAAGCAGCAACGTCAGTGGTGGAAGTACAGAGAGGAAATCTCAGAGAGAGAGAGGAATTTATTATGACGCGGCTTATTTCTTGTCTTTTTATAATCCACATTGTTTCAGATGCAATAATAGTGCAAGCATTAATCATTCCCATGTGCCTGACTGTTTAGTTTGTGTGCCTCTAAAAGTCCCCCCCAAAAATATTTTCACTAATTTTGATGTCATCTAATGTATGTTTTCTGGCAGATTGATTCGACTGTAAATAATCAGACTGACTTCCTGTCTGTGCATAATTCATACAAGACTCAACTGTTTATAGGAGAGGTGCTAATCAGTCGTCTGTGTGTATTGAAGCAAAGTTGTGTACTGTATTATATATGTGATGTTGTGATCACTAAGGTGACTGCCTGTCTGTTTGTATACATGGAGACACGAGAGTAACAGACGAGTGTTCGGTGTCCGCCTGCATGTACGTAACAACCACACAAGCCTTCACTGCTTGTCATTGGACGGTGTACATTTCAGCAGTCGAATGAAAGAACAGTAAGTTGGAATTTGAGAGATGGGTCCAACACCACAAACATAAGCATGTAGGTTGTTAAGAGTCCATGGATGGGATTGGAGAACAGGACTATGACCCAGGACTGGTCCTAGCTAGACGCTTACAACAGTTGTAACAGATATTTCCTTAATGGATAAGACCAACGAAAGAAAGAGGATAAAGAGATGGAAGGGATTAGTGGGGGTCAATGTGCAAAGGAAGGAAGTCAGTCAGAGGAGGAAACTCATGACAAGAAAAGGAAGGCCGAGCACAGAGAGTTGAACAGGAAGCGGCGGTGTTGATTGGGTAACAGTCAGATTAAGCAGCATATATCAGTCATTGATGAGTATCTCATGAGATTAAGTTTAATTAGTGTATCTTTAGCCGTGATTACGCCTACACTGAACTCTTGACCTTCTGCTACATATTTCTTGTCTCCTTTAATGATGGTATTGTTACAACATTTATAATACATACTTTGATAAGTTGAACCACTGAGACTGTTGAGGGTCTGTAACATCATGGAGTAAATCAGGTCCCCTGGTGTCTCTTTCTTTGATTTCTCAATCCTTTTTCCATTGCTGTTGTTGTTGTGCTGTTGCTGGAAGCAACAGCACATTTAGGTGTCGGGTGTCTCCTACTCTGGTGAGAAGTTTCCATAAAGGCTACACACTGTAACACTGCTTAACTTAAAGTCATTCACTATGAGGCAACTCAACAAAATAGCTTGCACTTGTTTAACAGTTGGCTGCCAGCTGTGCTTGTGGATGAGAGACTGAGTAGATCAAAATATTGCATTTCTACATATTTAAAGCAGGTTCATGCTTGTGAACAGCTGTATTAAAGTAATGGCTTTTTACTCATGAAGGTTTCATTACACTTACTTACAGTAACGAGCAAAGTTGTCGTCAACTCGCTTCACTGTCTCCACAAGTAGCCTCTGAGATGTCTCTGCTGTTCCTTTTTTTTATTTTTATTTTTTTTATTTGCTGGGCGATGCAAAAACCATCAGTAAATGTATAATGATGCTTTTTAAGGGGCATTCATATATGACCACCAAGTCCCCTGTTCAATCCTGGACAGGGTCAATTCAACTCAATGTGGCTTTATTGGCATGAACGTTTTTAGAAAAAGAAATGATAAGATACACAATAATATCATTTGAATCTCTCTTCTGGTAATATATTCTCCAAAGTAGGCTACATCAAGGAACAGTTGGGACTCAAGTTACAAGGAATGAATTAATGAATTGCAGTAAAATCTTGAGACTATTGTCTATTGTCATGTCTTAATACATTTTGTCACATGAACAGATTCAATGATTGCCAGTAAAACGATTCCTTTTTATTGGTTTTATTTTCAAAAGATTCAATTCAGTTTTTTCTTGCCCAAGAGCTGTTTCTGTTAGAGTCATGTTTTTGTCAATGACTGTCGTACTTTTCTCTGTTTTCACTGTGGCACTAATAATCCCCGATAGACAGACTGCTGTTTTCACCGATTGGACTATGAGTGTGTCTTCCCCTCCCGCTGGAGTTTTTTTTTTTTAAACTGCAGCCTGCAGTATCACGCTGAGCAGATGTAGAGACACCTGTCCTGCTACGACATGTGCTAATCATGTCTATTTTTGCCGCTTCTGAATTTTATAATACCGTGCTTTATCGTGTTTATCGGATATTTCCCTAAATCCTGAATGTCCACTAAAAGCAAAATATCAAAGTGGGACTTCACCAGAGCTTCTGCGTTTTCACTATTAAGTGTGGAGTGACGTCCTCCACTACAGCACGCTTCTGTGCGACCTGCCCCCGCCACCAGAGCAGCGATGCCTCCCGGTGTTGTGACCGCACCACGGAGCTCATCAGCCGGATGCTTCTGCGCGTGCAGCGGGGTTAAGATGAGACCTTATTTCACTGAGAACTCCGTGATCTCTCAGGGGGAAATTTATCAGCTGTAAGTTTAAACTGTAGCCAGAGACGCAGGCTCTCTGTGTACAAATAATTAACTAAGAATTGCAGTCTTGAGGCTACTGTATTATCATTAGTGAGATGCCCAATGAAGCCAGCTGAAGCTTACTTAAACAGTCTCCTTATATTCCGTCCTGACATAGTCTATATGGGCACGGTTCATATTCTCAATTGCCGTGCTTTACAATATTTAGTTCCAGTGATCTGGAATGACAAAGGCATGTGGTTTTCCCCCCACGATGACTTAAAGGGAAGGATGTGACGGCACATCAGCAGCAGAGTCGGTGGCTGCAGGAAGAGGTTTCCTTCCCTTTTGCTCCATGTGAATGTCTGCCAGATGCCGTACTCTCATCTGCTCGCATGCATTTTTTTGGATGTGACTAAAATGCATCTTGAGGGGCCACAGCAGGAAAGGCACACTGTGTACAGATTGTTCATGCATCAGAGGATGTGATTGATATGCCAGCTGAGTGTCTCTAGAGAATGAACCCTGGCATTGACTTTCTGTTTGTGTGGGTTTGATCAACCGAGTCAAGCCATAGTTTAGTGGTATAAGACATCTGTCTAGTGCCACTGTGTGTGGATTTATACTTGGTGACAGAGAGCAAACTCAATTGTCAGCCTCTGTCCTGAAGGGACTGACGGCACGCAATCCCCTGTTGTCCTGAGGAGGACGTAGAGGCTTTTTGCACTTGAAAATGTAAAAGTATCTCTGGGAGACAATTATGCTTACTAGCATGCTATGTGCCTCAGATCCAGTTCTCTGTGATATTTCTTTTTTTTTCACAAATGTTTTTTTTTTAATGTGAGTAATATGTGGGCTGTGACTGCCCTTCTCCCCCTCTGTCTTCACATAATAAGGTGACATAATAGGACTTCCTGTTTCTTATAGTCCTTCCTTGGCCTATATTTATCGTTGGCCATCAGTATGTAGTGACAAGTATGGACAGTATTACTGGTGTTAGTGGTGCATTCACTCCATTGTTTCATAACACAATGATGTCAGCTTAATGCCAAGGCGAGAAAACACTTTGTCGAACATTGGATGTATCGTTGTTTGCTGTGATTTTAAAAAAGAAATCAAAGGTTTGCATCCGTTAGTTTTAGTCCGTTTCAATGATTCTTTGTTTAGAGAGCAGTAGCCCCAAGTAACTCAACCAGAAATGCCGATTTCATGCCAGGTATATTTGTTTAGTTATGTGCCATAAAGTACTAAAGGCTCAGACAAAGCCAGTTTGTAATTGCCTGTAGAGCACAAAGATAACAACTGCAGGTATGTCTGCTGGTTCATGTGAAAAATGAACTTGATAGTTAAATGGGTGACCAGTTTGTTAGTTTTTTTTTCACTGTGACTCAGTGTCTTTGTGTGTTGTACCTTCTGACATTTTATGAACATGTCCAGTTAAGCCAGTACGTTATTGGAACCAGCTGCAGTGTGTAGTAAACTGCTCAGTGAAGTGTCTTCAACTCATAAAGGCACTTTATTTCTCCCATTGTTGTCGTGTATGTATTGTGTGTGTGTGTGTAGGGGGTGTAATGTGTGTTTTCTAAGAAAAGAAAAGATTAGATTAGATTTAGATTAAATCACTATTATTGAAAAACATTTAACCTTTAGACAAAAGGTCACTCAATATTCAGCAGATGTTTTCATGATGAGGAACAAAAGCTTCTGCTTTATTACGTTGGGGAATAAAGAGACATCATCCCAACAACACCAGCACTGCTGATTATATTTCTGTTGATGAACTAATCAATTATTCCACTAATTAATTCAGTTCTACAAACTATACATTTGCACAAAAACTCATCTATTCTTAAGCTGGAGACAATAGTGTTTGATTGGTGGGTAAACTTACCTGTAAAAATAATAAAAAGTAATTTCCAGGATGAGTCTTATTACTATGTATGGGTGTCTGTCACTGATTTTGTTTTTCCTCTCTCTATCTGTCCAGCATCAGTGAAAGTTTCCTGACAGTTAAAGGAGCTGCTCTCTTCTTACCTCGAGGAAATGGCTCCTCTCCCTCGTCTGTCTCTCGCGTCTCACAGCTGCGAAGCAAACATGCAGGTGAGCTAAAAAGGTCTTACTCAAGAACAATCGACTGTTGATAGTGCTGTTGGTTAAATAAAAAGCATAGCTGCAGATTTAGACTCTGATCAAAGATGTGTTTAATTACTCCTATCTTACCAGGAGACATCCAGCAGCATCTACAAACAATGTTCACTCTCCTCAGACCAGAGGACAACATCAAACTGGTGGGTACACACTGCAGCGCGGACACAACATTCAGTCTTAAGGTTGCCAATCAGCTGCTAAGACATCAGCTGTGTTTTACCTGCTGCAGGCGGTTCGTTTGGAGAGCGTACACACTCCGATCACTCGCTACATGGTGGTGGTCTCAACCAACGGTCGCCAAGACACGGAGGAGAGCGTGGTGCTGGGAATGGATTTCAGTCCTGTAGACAGGTGAGACAGAAATATATCTATCTATCTATCTCTGCCTGTTTGATACTCTGCATAAAGTTGTAACATGGAGTTTTTTTTTTCTCCTCCCAGCTCCTGTTCTGTAGGGATGGTTTTGCCCTTATGGAGCGACACGTTGATACATCTGGATGGAGATGGGTAAGAAAATATCCAGCATGTTTTAATCACAGAGCGAACACACACTGAACACCAGGATGCTAAGATGGCTGACTGTGTCTTTTTATTTGTTCTCCTCTGGTGTTCCCCTCTCTTCTTGCTCCCAGGGGTTTCAGTGTGTCAACTGATAACAAAGTGCATGTATTCAAGCCGGTTTCTGTGCAGGCCATGTGGTGAGTCACACTGCATTAATCACTCTGTAGAAACCGATATCAATATCTGCCATTTTATTGTTTGCAAGCGTTCATCTCAGTCTCTAAAGCGTGTCCCTGGCATTTACTTGACTCTCCCCTTCATCTGCCGTCTCTCAATGTCATTTTTCACTCTCAATGTCTTACTCGCAGGTCGGCCCTCCAGTCGCTCCATAAAGCATGCGACGTGGCTCGTTGTCACAACTACTTCCCAGGCAGCTTGTTCCTCACCTGGGTCTGCTACTATCAAAGCAGGGTCTGCTCCGACCAGGTGCGCATCAACGAGTGGAACGCCATGCAGGACGTGCAGTCGCACCGCGCCGATTCGCCCGTGCTCTTCTCTGATGCGTAAGTATCGTGATCACGTGGAATGTATTTTTCACTTTTTATTTCCTCCCTTGACTTAGAATTGATTTATTGTTTGTGCAGACCTACAGAGAGAGAGCTGACAGAGCGTCGGATCAAAACCAGTCTGAGGGAGATTATGATGCAGAAAGATCTTGAGAATGTCACCTGCAAAGAGGTGAGTCAGTGCTCCAGATGTTGGATTTGAAGATGCAAACAGATGCACCCATCACTGAAAGAGTTATTGCAACAAATTGGGTCCCTCTCAAAAATGATTTTTTTTTTAAAAGGGACATTTTTATTTTAGTCACCAGTATTTATCTTAAAATAAAATGTAATATCTTCGTTTTAGGTTTAGAGTTGCTGTTTTAAGATTTTCTGGTGTTTGCCTGTGTTCCGTAGATTCGAACAGAGCTGGAAATGCACATGACGTGCAACCTGCGAGAGTTCAAGGAGTTCATTGACAATGAGATGATTATCATTCTGGGCCAGATGGACAGTCCTACGGAGATCTTTGATCACGTCTTCTTGGTAGGTGACCTCAAAACACCTCTAGAGTACCACTGCTGCATCTGGCAACAGTGATGGTCTCATTACATTGAAGTCCACGGGATGAAAAAGTCCCAGAGAAGCTGGATCACAAATCAATTTGATAAGAACACTTAACTATTGAAAGTCTCTCAGTTCTTTTTAAATTTTAAATGTATGCACAGGGTTAATCCGTGTGTGGGGAACTTGGCAAAATATGAGATTGTCTTTCGTAATTCAAATTTCGAGGAACTTGAGGTTCCTGTTTGGTTTGGAGTGCACACTGGATGTCTGGCATGCTTTGCAACAGGATTTAAGCATTATGAAAAAATCACTGGGAGGCTCTGAACTAGTCTGAATATTGCTTTTGTTTCCTAAAGGGATCTGAGTGGAATGCATCCAATTTGGAGGAGTTGCAGAAGAGCGGGTAAGGGGGGGCAAAAACAACAACGCAAGCTGTACTGAAGTCAATAAAGACACAGTATTAAATGATAAGACCCGAGCAATCATTTTGTTAGAATTAGATTAAATGTTTTGTGTTCTGTTTTCTTAACAGGCTGCATATACAATCATCTCTCTCACCTTCTTCTGATCTTTCCTCTCATGTTCTCACTCAGGGTCCAGTACATCCTGAATGTAACAAGGGAGATAGATAATTTCTTCCCCGGTGTGTTTGAGTACCACAACATCCGTGTTTACGATGAGGAGGCCACCGACCTGCTTGCTTATTGGAATGACACCTACAAGTTTATATCTAGAGCCAAGTGAGTTTCTGAAGGCTGCACCTTCTCTTTTTCTTCTCAGATCGGCTCACCTTGTGTCTTTTCACATAAAAAAAGACAAAATGCCGTACAGAACTGTTGACACTGATAGACTGATTGATATGATTTGATTCTTCAAATCTACTCCAGGAAAGCCGGAGGCAAGTGCCTGGTGCACTGTAAAATGGGCGTAAGTCGCTCTGCAGCCACAGTGATTGCATACGCCATGAAGGAGCACGGCTGGGATCTGAAAAAAGCCTTTGATTACGTCAAGGAGCGTCGAGCTGTGACCAAACCTAACCCGTCTTTCATGAGACAGCTGGAGGAGTATCAGGGCATACTGCTGGCCAGGTACCCACACAAACACACACAAGCATATTTAATGTGAATTTGAGGGTGTAGCTGATGCATGTACAGCAGGATTTTGATCTATTGTTAAGAAAAAAATATTGATTAGTGCACCTTTTTTATTTTATTTGTGACACATTTTTAGCACTATAACCTTATAAAATGACATTAAAAGCATGTATGTGCACGTTTATATGTTTGCATGAAGAGGATAGTAGTTATGTGAAAAGATTATACGTTTTTTTTGTTTTTTTTCATGTTTCTTCCCACCCTCCTACAGCAAGCAGAGGCACAACAAACTGTGGCGTTCTCACTCCGACAGCGACCTGTCTGAGCACCACGAGCCACTGTCTAAATCTCACGCCCAACCGCACAGCCTGGGTCGCTCCGACCCCCATAACCAGGCCAGTAGCGCGCCTGGTCCCTCCGTGAAAGAACTGCTGGATTCACTGGGAACTTCGGCCATCACTGGCAAAGCAACGCACTCCACCAGCCAGCCTGATACCGGCATCCACTCCAATCAGTTCAGCTCGTCGTCCTTTGAAGGCGTGGCAGCTCGATCAGGCGACGCTAAAGCTCGAAACCCTGAAGCCCCTTCTCATCCTGCTGAAGTCCAACTCAGCCAGTTGGACTCTCCTTGTCCCGAGTCCACAGCTGGCTCTGTGTCTCTGCTATCTCCTCCACTCTCCAACGGCTTATGTGACTCTGAGGAGCAGCCCTCCTCCCTTCCTCTCCCCCAGCCGAGGGCCGCCGCCGTGGTGCCTGAACCTCAAAAGACGGACGTGGCGGCTGTTGCACAAAGTGTTTTCGTGGACCAGCCTCACCTGCCTCCATCCTGTCACCACCTCCCCCTCTCCCCTGCTCCATCCCCAACTCCAGTGTGCATGGATGAGGTTATCAAACCGCAGGCGTTGTCCTGCTCTCTACCTGTGATGAAACCGACGCTAGTGTCGTCGGCTGAGCCCTTGACAACACAAACACCGAGCACACAACAGGCTGGACCCCGGTGTTTGTCTGCACCAGTGCCTGTCAAAAAAAGCGACTGTGACGAGCACATGTGTGGCTCGTCTGTGGACGGTTTACCAGCACATTCTCCCTCCAATAGTGATTTTACGAGCTACCCCAGTGCCACTCCACACGACAACGAGGTGTTGTTCAGCCACAGCCCCGATCACATTAACTTTTTCAGTGCCAGAGAAAAGTTCAAGGAAATGAGTCAAGATGGTAAAAGTCACTGTGCTGCAGTGCAGCAGTCGCCGCAGCTGAAGACTTGTGGCAAGGAACAACAACCACTGCCTCAGGAGGTCTCCATTAGTGAGGGGAAGGAGGAGGAGGAGGAGGGGGAGGAGGAGGAGAAAACAAAGGTAAGGTTACTGCGTGTAGCAAAACTTTCCAGAACTACTGCACAGTTACATTGTTCTCTAAACTTTGGGAGACATAGATTTTCATCAGGGCGTCCCTCAGGTGTCATTTTGGGTGTTTGGAGTTAAGTGTGTGGATGTTTTAATCTTTTTTCATGGCTACACTTGTGTAAGATGCACATTGTAATATAGATCATCCAAATAATTCTTAGATAACATTTGAATTTTGGTGACATTTGGAAGTGTATTGAGCTCACAGCAAGTAAATTTGTTCTCAAATTAGTGTCTTGTTCGCTTGCTTGTGTTTTCTTTAGTCCAAGGCGCCATCTATTGGTGTAACATCAGAATCCATTTTACTTGAATGTTTTTTTTTTTTTAATATATGGATATAGATTTGTTTGGCCTTTAAACCAAATTATCTTATTATATTATCTCTCTTGTCTTTGTAGGAAATGACCATCCCTGTGCAGGTCACAGGACTGAAGCCTTCCGTGCACACAGAGCCACAGGGCCCCCAGGACCAGGAAGTGAGCAAGTTGAGGCAGGAAATTGATGATGGAGATGTTTTATCACAGAAGGAAGCCAAGAATGTTAAAGAGGAAGTGAAAAACAACGAAGAAGAGGAGGAGGAGGAGGAGGAGGAGGAGGAGGCTCCTGTTCGTCTGTGCAGCGATTGGACGAGGGGGTCCGTGCGGCGCGTCACGCGACAGCTGGAGCAAAGAATGAAACAGGAGCATGAGACTCCGTCACCTTCCTTATCGCCTCCGTCCCTCTCCGGCAGCTCCTCCTGCTCTCAGCAGCGCCCAACCAGCGTCCATGCTGCAACAACTTCGAATCCACAGAACGCATCAGTTGGCCCGCAAGTGTCAGAAGTTAGCACTGTGCAGGAAGAGCAGGAGGAGGACGGTGGTAATACGTTTGGACCAGTTAAAAGGGGGAGTGGTGATGTAGCTAATGTGGGTGCACTAGGAAATAATGACAAAAGCACAAAAGGACACAAACTCAAGCCTGCTGATATTCGATTGCTCTCTACCTCGTCTTCTTTCCACCGCTCGGCCCAGTCTCCCTTTGCCTCTGTGAACTTCCTGTGTTTGGAGGGCGTGACAGAGTTGGAGTCAGGCACAGACTGGGACTGCTCCACAGAGGGACCTCATAGTGACATCATCATGAGGGAGACATGGGAGACTTTGTGCGAGCTGGGTGCCTTCCTGCAGCAAGTGAGCATGGACGGAGCCTGTAGGGGAAGGTGTGCGGGCCAGGTTTCTGGCCTCAGTGCTGGAACCGCTCACAATCGAGGTAGCGGTTTCCAGAAGAGGGTCAGAGAGGTGGAAGCGAGGATTCGCCAGGCTGGACTGACCCCTCCATCCCTGATGAAGCGCTCCGCCTCTCTGGCCAAACTGGGCTGTCTGGAGCTGCTCGCCAAGGACCTGAGTGAGTGGGAGCTCAGCCGCTCCTCTGTAGCTCCGTCCTCGGCAGAACCTCTGATCCACACAGCTAGCGACGAGTCCAAGAAGCAACGGGTCCACAACTCTTCTTCCTCAGCCGGCCAGCATCCGGAAGTCCTCGGGACGGGTGTGAAGAGGCTTTCTGAAGCTGGAGAAACCTCACCAGGAGCCTCTCCACCATCCAGTCCACAAACAGGAGAACTCCCGAACTCTGACCAAGAATCTCTGCATGTGTCTGGGCTCACACTTATGGCAACAAGGCAGCAATATGGAAGGACTCACCCCCTGCGGCAGCTTACGAAAAAAACTGCTAGTACCCTTTACCACACCATGTAACCCTCACCGTGTTTGTGTGTGTGTGTGTGTGTGTGTGTGTGTGTGTGTGTGTGTGTGTGTGTGTGTGTGAGAGAGAGAGAAAGAGGGATTATGCACACCTGTGAGAATTGGAAATCAAGTGCATAATGTTGGAATCATTCAGCAAAACAAACCAATGCCTCTTGCCTTAAAGAATATGTTTCTGTACATGTTTTCCTCTGTGAAATCTGAGAAATTAGATGCATTTCATTGTAGGAACAGCGACAAGGCTATGAAGGGTCCAGCCAATTGAAAATAAACATTTGAATGAAATTGGAAGAAGCGCTGAGTAGTTTGAAACACTTTCAGAAGAAGTCATTCAAAAAGCAGCAAAAACGATCATCAAAAGTGAATAACTTGTTACAAATGTTAACATGCCTGAGCCTGCACTTATTCTCTTCACGTCATCGCTGGTTTCTCCATCACGAACTGGATGTTTACTTGTTGTTCGTTCGTTGAATAGTTCGACCTGGCGACCTGGTTTTCCTCTTCTTTTGCGTCCAATGTCGCTTCTTCAATATTTGCCGGTTGTGCTGGGTTGCTGCCAAGAAAATCATACAGCTGGTACAATCTCACAGGTAAATGAATCCACCCAACATCAACCCAACATTCAAACACACTTCTCAAACCTGCAGATTTGGTTCAAAATTGAAAAAATGTAAAGAGAAACTTTGATTACTTGGCAGAAATACCATACTGGCGAATAATTCCAATTAAAGTTACTTCTGCTGTCTGCAGACAGATTTTTAAACGTGGGTTATTATGCTAACAGCAGCTCATCCACACATACAGAGTCGAACCACAGACGCAACAGATTCGTGTTTTACCCGAAAGGAAGATGTATGCAGAGCGGGAAAAATCTACTGAAAATAGCGGCAGGATTCTTTTTGAAACACGATGCAAAGAGAAGAGGCATGCTGAGTTGTTGTTTTTTTTAATGTTTTTTAATGTTTGTTTTGACTTCTCAATACCTCAGTAAGTGTGACTCAAATCTGACCTGTGTAAACGTCAGGATTCCTGGAATGTCTCAGTCAGAAATAATTTCAACTTCACAGCTTCATGAACTGAAGTAATCAAACTCGTCTCTCATGTCCTCTCAATCGAGACATTTCATGTATGCATTGCTGTGTGGGAGGAAGTGTAGGTTAGGGGATTGGGCGTTGAAGGCACCGTGTATATTTGTGAGTTTTCTGCTGTTTTCTTTGGGATGTAAAGGTCTATATCGTGAGCGTTAACCTTCTAGGAACTGTACATGTTTTTGTATCTGGTTTGTCAGTGTGTGACTGTAGCACAACATTACTATGTAACTTTTATTTTTATTTTTGATAATCGTTATCTATTTTGTACAAATTTTAGGAGTGTGCCTGTGACTGGCAAGTGAAGCTTCTCGGCAGTCTATCAGAGATGTCTGTACAGGGAGGCCTGTCATACATGCACTTTACTCCCGTTTTCTTTTTAATGTGGCTTTTTTTTAATGTGTGGTTGCTACTTCTGGGGAGCATGCTTAGGTAGTAGCAGCTGTTGGGTTTGCGTGTGTATTGTCAAAAACCAGATTTTCTTGTGTTTTATTTTAAACTATCAAGTGTAAATATTCTTTTATATAATGTGCTTCAACTGTGACCATTAAATAATGGAAATTATTGAGTCTGTTTTGCTGTGAGACTGTTTACAGTATTGTAAGGTCATGGCAAGATACGTTTTTAACAATCTTGCTAAGTATTTGGTGTTTAGCAATTTTTAATTGCTTTAGTCTACAAAATGTCCACAATTTCCCCTTTACGCCATAAGGTCACATCTTCAACTTGCTTCTTTTGTTCGAGTAACCATTCAAAACCCAAAGATATTCAGTTTACTACGATTATAAAATAAAAGCAGATAATCCGTACTTTGATATGGATTCTATGTGGTGAGTATTCTGTTACTTTAAACAGCTGTAAGTTTTCAGTTAGCTGATGTTAAAGGCGTCACTCTTACTCTTGATCATCCACAGAGCACATGGTCCATTGTCATAATGCCCGTTTCTTTGATAGAAAGTAGTTTCATGGAAAACAGTTTACTTTAATACACTACAAAATTGCAGGTGAAGCCTGCCTGGTAAATTTTTAATATATATATTAAAAATGTTAAACTCTAATCTAGTCATAGTGAAGAAAGTTATTCAGTCTGTGGTACATTTAATATCTATTATAATAATGCTTTTTAGCTCAAATAAGTAGATTCAATAGTGAGTAAAAATGGAAAACAAACAGTTTAAGGTTATTTCAGTTTGGAAACTCAGAACTGATGTACTGTATACAGCAGGGTTTATTTGCTGACATGTATACTGTACATGTACAATATCTTGCAAACAGTGCAGAATAACTGGTTTTCATTTGTACTGTAATCTAAACAGTCATAACACACCAGTGGAAATGCCTTAAACCATAAATAGAGAAAAATATATATTTCAGTAGGTCAGTAGGCTCAGTTATGTATTTTGTGACTTGCTGTGAATATGATGGCAGTGTGTACGGTGCAGTATCTTCACTGACCAATATAATATAGCAGAAACAACCACCGTGACATTTTTATAACTTTGATATTCTGTGTTTGTTAGTCAAAGTTATTGCAGTTCACTACCCATTGATAGCGTAGATGTCCTGCAGTATAAAACCGAGTGAGTACAGTAATCCTGCTGCAAGGTAAGTCTTCTGATTTTCTGTTCATTTTTCTCTTTTTGCAGTGAAAAGTTTGACCTCTTCCTAGATTGACAGCAACAAGGAAACACCATGACCCCAGCATGTTTAATATGTAGCATGCAAGACTCACTATCGCTAACTACAAAACCAGACAACTACTTTTTAATATCCCTTTTCACAGCCTTTGGACTACAAACTAGAACAACAACTGCAAAGTGAGAGTTTGTCCTTTGTGAATACATAGTAGCTACTTTCTGATACTTTCTGTATCGCTCATTGTTTAATTGTACATTTTTTATGAAATGTATTGTTGGGAGGCAAATGTCAGTGTTATGGTGAGCCTGAAGATGTGTATGAAGTGTTGCATTTGTGCATTTTGGATTTCACTTTAGTGCTGAGCAGAGTTGGCGCAGAGAACAGTGTGAAGAGTTTTAAATATGTAAAATGTATAACCCACTTTTTAAAATAACAAACACAAACTTGGGTCATTTTACTTTTCTTTTTTCTAAATAACTCCTGGCCCTTTTTTATTTCCATCCTGCCCTATTCAAACCAGCTTCTGCAGGTGCTTCTTCTGCAGGTCAACAGTGTATTTTATTTGTGGCCATACAAGAAACCTTGGTTGCAGGAGTAAACATGGAGCACTTGTTGGCAGCATGGGAGATCAGATCACCGATGTACCTTTTTATTTATTCTGCGTCTTAATACGTGCGTTAGTTAAAATGTCCCACTGTCCACAGCCACCATAGTTGTGACACTGACGCCCAGGGGACGCGCTAGCCCCCTGTAACCGGCTCGCGTCACGTTCCCCCGTACTGAGAGAGCCTGTTCCAAAATAGACGGCACTCACCCAACACCCACCAACCCACCCACGCTCGGCCCCAATACTCTCCCCTCTCTCTTTCCCTGCCGAGGAGCGTCACGCACGGAGTCTCCTCAGCAACTCCAGGAAACCGGATCTCGGGGAATATTATTAAAAAAGGAAGCAGAAGGTGGAGGAGTAGATCACAGCACATCAACAGTGAGAGTTGTCCAGGGAAGAGGGCTCTCCCCATAACCTGAGGTGAGCTGTCCAGACTACCTTTCTTAATATGCGTGTGTCAGTGTCGGTACTGCAGTGGGCTGAGAGTGCGTCAGCTTCTGTACTGCACTGCTGGAGAGGAGTGAGTGCGTCCCCACCTTTGATTATCTTAAAAAAAAAATCTTTGTCGTACATGGCGTCTGTGGGCTACTTTAAGGAGCACGTTGTAGCCTACAACCCACACACGCACGCACGCACACACACACACCTTCATTCTCTCTCACACCTCCTGCGCCCCCGATAGCGCATGTTCCCCTGTTATATGTGTGTTTCTATAAGCTGCGTTTTAATTTACGGTCCGGTTCAGTAACGACAAAGCGCTACAGAGTGCACTGCCTTCATTCTGGGACTATTTAGGATCCGGCTGGCGGGTGGGAGGAGCGGCTGGCCGTGGTGGGACAGTGCAGTTTGTCATGGCTATATTAGGAAAGTGGCAGTGTCATTCTTTCGCTCTGTGTCGACTCTCCAGAGCCGTGCCACGCGCGACAGAGGAGGGCTATCTCATTAACCTGAGGCACAATTAAAGGATCATTTCCATGACCGAGGGGAATTCTTCAAGTATTTGTGAACATGAGCTACTTTGTTTTTTAAACCAGAGAAGAAGTTCAAACCTATATCATCAAGTATAGACTATCAACTCTGGAGGCGCTGCATTGTCAATGAATATGAATTAATATGAATTGAACATCAATTCATTGTCTATGGAGCAGTTCCATCACAATTTTAGCCTTTGGCACAATAGTTTTTGGATTTGGAGGAAAGTTGTTCATATTTACTTATACTTTCTTAACTGTCTTAAACCACAGGAATAAGATGTATGCATTTTGGAATTTGGCGTAATGCCCCTTTAATTTAGGCCTATTATAAATCACATCACATATTCCCCAAGCATACAAGTTTTTAGATTGTTAAATGATTAAAATCTTACCATTACACCGTTTCAATAAGGCCGCCTGTTGCTTTTTGACTTTTTCAAACCCTCTTTATTTAAAGCAAACCACGATAAAGGCATTTTCACTTTCAAATGAGATGATAAGGCATGTACCATAAATAAATACTCAGTTTTCTAATTATTTGTTTTGTCAAATGGTTGAAACAAATTAAGAAAATTAAGAGAGGTGTATTCGATTCATGCCGCGGAGCATCTTATCTTGACAGATACATTGAGGAAAAAAAAGATAATATAAAGAAAGATTATTACAAGTCACTGACACTGAATATATAAGTATGTATAATATTGAGCCCGCCCTGAAATGCCTCACAGCTGGCCCGACTGAAGTGGTCGTTGGAATGCAAATTCTTTTGATAACCGAGAGCTTCCAGGAAAGAAACGAGAGCCTCTGTCTCCTCATCAGTCGGGTTGGTCAGGTATCCCACAGGCTTTCGGCTAAATGTTGTATATTCTAGTGTGACATTCAGATATCATCACTGATGACAGCAGGATTTGGGTCACTTTATGTTTACTTTGTCACAGGCCTGAACCAGAACCGGACTTCATATGGTTTTCTTTTTGATTGTGTGGAGCCAGATCATTTGCTTATAGGATTTGATCATCAGTTATGATCATCTATTAAAAAGAGGAAGAACTCTGCTGCATTCATCAGACGTCTTCAGGGACCGATGCAGACCTATTTCCAGATTTGGGTTTTTAGTTTTGGCCTTATGTAAGCCAGTGCAGTCTGGTTAGATAAGTGTTAAACTAAATATTCTCATAAGGATTGTAGCACATGGGTGTGATTAAATGTGACTGATGTGCTGTGTATGGTCATTGTATCTGTTCTGTCCCTGCGTTTTATCAGTTCTCTGTGTCTCCTTGGTGTTTGTCTTTCATGTTCAGCCATCACATAGTGTTTGGTGGGACAATCAACTATTAATATCTGCACTGATGGCAGGCACTGTTATAGAATATCTCCTGAGTTTTGGAGGATTACAGGCCGTCTGGCCGGGTGCCTGGGACAGCCGCACAACAGCAAGTTTTCCGTCAACAAACGCATGACAGAGATCGTCGTTCAGAGATAAGCAGAAGGTTATTTAAAGTCACTGAAAGCTTGGCTTCAATTCAAAGTATATATTTACAACATCACGTATTCAAGACTAATAAACAAGCAACATCAGTGTAAAAAATAGTAAACAAATCTTTATGTACCCTATTATTGATAGTGACGACCCACCAACTGTCTTCAGATTCTCATTCATCAAATGTTGCTGAATTGTAATCGGAAATACAGAAAATAGTGTGTTCATTTGAATCCCGTCACTCAAGGTGATTGAGACAAAAAGGTTTTCTTTACAATGTATTGATGGACATACAGTATGAATGGAGTAGAAAACAAAAGACATTCAGTGATTGCTGGCATTGCATAAACAAAATATTGTATCTATTTTATGTGACTTTCAATCTGAATAAAAAAGTATATAAAAGGTGAGTGAACTGCCCTTTTCAATTTTCAAAATGAAAGGCTGGAAAGCACCATCAAGCTACCAAGTCATGATCTTCACCCTTGAAAACAAAACAAGTCAAAACAGCAGAAGGCTGCTCATAACAACACATTAACTGAGAGTTACTTTTCCGCAAAATAAAAGCTGTTACAACGCTGTCCAACAGCCTGCCTCAGCGACAGTGACAGGCTAAATACATTTGTTCGGTTGAGATCTGATCAAACTCTTTTGCTAAAAATCTCTTTATCCCTTCTTTCCTCCTTTTCACCATTTACTCACTCCCCCGTCCCTCTTCGCTCATCCTCTCCCATGTCTGGTTTCTTCCTCTTTATATCCTCCCACCTTCCTCCGCTTGCCTCAGCCATGAGTCGCAGCATCGTGCGGCAGAGTAAGTTTCGCCACGTCTTTGGCCAGACAGTCAAGGCTGAGCAGGGTTACGATGACATTCGTGTTTCCAAGGTGACGTGGGACAGCTCCTTCTGCGCCGTCAACCCAAAGTTCCTGGCAGTCATCGTTGAATCCAGCGGAGGAGGAGCGTTCCTTGTACTGCCAATCTCTAAGGTCAGTACGGTCAAAGGGGAAAGAATTCTTGGTGGCAGGTTGGAAACACAACAGAGTGTCCATGAGTTCAGTTTTCATGTGACCATAACTTCCACTGAAGTTGAGACAAAATGCTGATTATCCCAAAACTGCCCAAAAAATGGGATCAAATCTGCACATCAATACAGCCACTAACATGTCTGTATGTACAGATCTATTGTCTGTAGACTCGTGTTGGTTCACTGCTGGCACATGGCAACAGATGAAGATCGCCAAGGACAAATAATCCTCTTGTTCTATCAATCCAAGCTACACGCTGTTCCTTCCTGTTTGGATGGGATTTGTGTGGGTTTAAGATGTTGGTTGTGAATGCTGCGGACAAATATACATTTTCAAATTGTGTTTTATGAAAAAAAAACTGTAGTTCTAATCAACTTCCAGGGTCGTACATCTCCGATGCTATCAGCATGGGTTGTCTGTGTCATACATGTGTCAGGGGAGGTAACGAGAGAGAAGAGAGGCAGAACTTTACAGGGAGCGAAGAAGAAAAAAGAGACAAAAAAAAGATAGTTTGCTTGTTTATTCTCCCGTAAGTGACAGTCTGTAACCTTTTGCATCTCGGTGTACATGAGCTGACTTTATTGCTCAGCTCATCAAGACCACGCAAGGCAATGCCATGTTGAATACTGAAATCAGTGCGGCCTCTTTAGTTTCGGATCTTTGTACCAAAAGGAGGTTTCTATCAAGAGAAATACAGTATATGATATCCACATAATAAATAAGTAAACTGACGTTCTGTAATGTTTGGCTATAAGGAGCTATGACGGGATCGATGTTGCATGACATAATCAGCAGACTGTAACGTGGACAGTAAAGAAGCTCTGTGCTGAGGTCAAATAATTCCCGTGACCCCAGGTATTTAAAATACACATAAAAGCCTATGTCTCAATCTCCTGTTTTATTAACGTAATTCTAAAGTTGGCAAGAAGACGGACGACGAGCTGCTTTTAAAAAATGATCAGTGTCAAGTCATAGTATCGGCAAAGCAATGGTTATTTTTTTTGTTTGTCTTTGAATGATTTCTTTCTAATAGCAGAAGATATAATATTTGCTTTAGCTGTCATGTTGGGGAAGCCTTGGGAAGGACGCCATAATTGCTGAAACAGAAATACTTTGCAAGGAAAAGCCACAAAGTTATAGTTTTTGTTATTACATGTTCAAAAAACGATTCATTTTCATAGTCCGTCCAGTTCACTACAGATCACAGCTCATGGCTATAACCAGCCAAGTCTGCAGCACTTTCGTTGCCCTGTGACATGCCTCCACTCACTCAGCAGGTCTCTTCTGAGCCGTGCTGCTAACGCCAACTGCCAATCACAGTCCAGCATTACGAGAACTGAGAAGTTAATCGACTACAGGCCAAAAAATTGTAGAGTTATAATTGAACTTTAAAGAGTGGAACGAGCAATGTTTTACTTTTTGAGAATTTACAAATGTCATGGATGTAACAAGGTCATCGTTTCTGAGATTCATTAGTGTGTCGGCAGTGATAATTAGTTACAAAGAGCTTTTTGGAGGCACAGGGAAATGGATGTGATTATATACTGGAGTCATGGTGAACAGACATGCTATTAATACACACCAACGTGCTCTCCGTCCTCCATCTCCCCCTCTGAGTCCCCAACAGGCCTCAAGAAAAACTCCCCTTTCAATGCCTCGTTGCTAGGCTATAAATACACCTCACTTGGGGTGTGCGTTGTATGTGTGCGGGGGGAGCGATACCTCAAAAGTACATGTGTTTACACTATAGAAACAGGGCAACATGGACTAACCTCGATGTGACATCATGATTTTAGTGTGCATCATATTAAAATGTTTGGTGTTATCTGTTTCCTGGAAGTCCACCACAATGCTGAACGTTTTTTTTTAAAGGTTTTGGGTGTGTGTTGAAGGTTTTGACACCACATTTAGCAGCCTTGACTTAAACAGGGCACCATTACAGTTCAATACCTACTAATCCGGCAATCGCAAGGTCGGCGGTTCGATCCTTGGCTGCTACGTGTCCTATGCCAGAGTGTCCCTGAGCAAGACACTGAACCCGTAACTGCTCCCCGGGCGCTTCTCAGCAGCCCACTGCTCCCAATAAGCTAGGGATGGGTTAAATGCAGAGGACAAATTTCGTATATGTGTATATGTATATGACAATGAACTTAAAACTTAACTTAACTTAATGTGGGCCCTGCATTGTTATCTAATCTTGTAGTCGAGGAAGCCAGTGTCAAAATGTGATGGCTGAGGGCAAGAGGTGGGGGCTCCAACAGTAATTTAAACTCTGTGACTCGCTAGCAGGATAAATCCATGGTTGTTTCAACAACATTTAATTTACTCCATTTCAGTGCTTGACTATTTCATTCTATGTACTTCTCTGGACCAATAATATCACCTCAAGGTCAATTTTTCGATTATATCACATGACCTTTATCAGAGTTAGTTTGCCCAGTTGTTGTGGCATTGTAGCTGCTCAAATTAATTTTTTTTTCTGAAAACTTTAGGGACTTTTCATTCATCTAAGCTGAAAAAATGTAGATTGAAAGTTCATTTATGACCTTGGAAATAGTAGTTGAGAAAGTTTTACCATAAAAATACTCAAAAAATAAATGGAATTTAATGACAACTAGGCAAATTTCATCAGCTGAAGAAGATGTGTGACATGATCAAAAGCCAAGGAACATCTACTAAATAGACCTTTGGGTGAGATTGCTTTTTTCCGAAGTCATGAATATACTTTCAATCTGAACTAGTTTGGAACTGTTTCACATTGAAATAAAGTCACTGTAACTTTAGATGATTAAATAACCTTTCACTTTTCCCCTTGTTTTAACCTACATTTCTAGACATTTCTTGACCTGCAAATCACCAAATCAATGCTTACTACTGTTTTTTACTTATGAGAAATTGATGAATATTAATGGTAGGTTGTTGTACAAACACAGTCCTGTGTGTCACTGCTGTTGTGTGTTGCAGTCAGGTCGTGTGGATAAAAACTACCCGCTTGTGATTGGTCACTCTGGACCTGTCCTCGATATCGACTGGTGCCCACATGACGACAACATCCTGGCCAGCTGCTCGGAGGACTGTACTGCAATGGTAACGTGTGTGTGTGTGTGTGTGTGTGTGTGTGTGTGTGTGTGTGTGTGTGTGTGTGTGTGTGTGTGTGTGTGTGTGTGTGTGTGTGTGTGTGTGCGTGCGTGCGTGCGTGCGTGCGTGCGTGCGTGCGTGCGTGCGTGTGTGTGTGTGCATGTAGAAAAAAGTTCTGAGTGGGAGATGTGGAGGAGTTTGTTGTTCGATGACTCAGATAACAGCCACAGAGGTGAGCTGAGCTGAGTTTGTCACATCTGGCTTAAATGAGCGAAGTGAGTCAGTCAAGGCATCATTGTGTCTACCTGTCTGACTGTCCACCCACCTGCTCAGTCGCATCTCTATCTCTTCATCGAGCTGCTCGTCATATTTTTGTCCTTGACAAGTTGTCTGTCTGAAACCGACCTCGTCATTTTGAGCCTGCTGGTACTCCTGCTGCTCCATGTGTTTGTGTATAAAAGTCCAGTTTAGGACAAAAGTATTAATATGTTATCAGTGTGTGTGTGTGTGTGTGTGTGTGTGTGTGTGTTTGTTGGGGGGGGGTTTGTGGCTGATTTTTGGCACAGTGGGATGTTTTTATGACAGACTCGTTTTCTAATACTTTCCCATGCCTACGTGAAGTACTTTGATAATTGGTCAGTTTCCTTTTATCAGATCAGAAAATGCTGGAGAACGCAGGATTGGTACAGTACACACAGGAGGACAATAATATAATAGATAATCACCATTAGTCTGCAGTGATTATGTTCTGCTCTACCTGCTGTCAATCACCTCACACCTACAGGAAATAACCTGTTAAAATCACTAAATCACTGACACCTTGTCACAAACTATGTTGTGGCATCCATCCTTCTTGTGTTTAACTTGGACAAGTTAGTTCTGACAGTGAAGGAAAAGCACAACAACAAATCTTAAAGCATGCACACATAGAGGATTGTAAACACACCTTGTAGCTCCATCTTAAACACAACATTTTACACTTTTAAACTGAAGACAAAACGGAGGCTCTGGTAGTTCTTTCAATCCTGCTGTGATACACTGCATCTGTGGTCCTGAAGCTCATTAACTGAGTGCAGACAGCAGGGGCCACTGTGAGACCTGCACTACAGAGAGATGAGTAGAGATGGATAAAATATTATAACTATGTATTATTATTTATGCAAATAACTTGTGACCCCGAATGACAGATTAAGCATTGTAAAATTCCATTTTGACATCTAGGATTTATAATCGCCCTATATATATGCAATATTTGCTCACACCCTGCCATTATAAACACAATTGCATTCCATAGTGTTTAACAGTTAATTATGAGTTATGACATAAACATAAACTCTTCAAATGCAGGAAATGTGAACCAGGTTTAATGTCTGGGATGTAATTAAGTGATTAGCTGCTCCACTGACATAAAAAAAAGGATCAATCAGTTGTTTTGGTTGATAAAATGACCAAAAAAATCAGTTTCCTGGAGTCTCAAGATGACATCTTCAAATGTCTTGTTTTGCCTGATTAATGGTACAAAACACAAAGATATTCAGTTTCCAATTATATAAAACAAACCTAATATTGAAGGAGCAGTAGCAAGCTTTAAAAATAACTTGTCAAGATAGGTTCTGATTCATTTTTCTGTCGACAGACTAATCGATAAATTGTTTACATCCATGGATCAGCTTTAATATAGATACCTTTTCTTCTTCTCTTGTAATGGTCGCACAAATGAATGTACTTGATGTAAAATACAACAAAAATATTGTATATCAGTTACTCTAATATTCAATGTTAAAGTCAGATGTCCAAGTAAAATTAACCAATACACTGTACGTCAGGAAATCTCAAATCTTTTCAGCTTAACAGACAGATAAAATAGTCACTTCGGTTTTAAGAGATGATATGCTCCTTAAGACGCATTACTTTGCTTTGTGTGTGTGTGTGTGTGTGTGTGTGCGCACAAATGTGCAGTATGTAAGCGTGTGTCAACTTTAAAAAAATCTTTGTATTATGACAACATGTGTTTTGACTCAGCATGTATCTGTACATCAGCACAGTTGTCACTGAGGACAGATTTGCCCACACTTGTTCACAATGATATCGCAGGAATCTTCGTGCAATCGCATGATTGAATCGCTGCTTCTCCTATGGCAACAGCTGCTGGGATGCTGTTTGAGTGCTGTGTGTGCGTGTGTGCGTGTGTGTGTGTGTGTGTGTGTGTGTGTGTGTGTGTGTGTGTGTGTGCGCGTGTGACAGTTCCAGCTGTCCAGTCTTGGCAGTGTTGCGTCTGTGAAGCAGAAAGGTCATAACTGTGAAGTCATTCTCTTCAGTTCACAGAGACGGCTCATTGTGTCATCTGAAAAGGCTCACTAGTGTGTGTGTGTGTGTGTGTGTGTGTGTGTGTGTGTGTATGTGTGTGTGTGTGTGTATTTGTGTGTTTGAGCATATGGATCAACCAATCACCTACTGAGTGCTGTAATGGAAATTTTATGGAATTAATAAAAACTGGTTTAAAAAAAGAATGCTGACATTAATGAGGAATATGTTTTGTTGTTTCTGTTTCTGTGTATTATACAATTATACAGACATTTCACATGATGTCTTTTTTAAAGGGTGATTCTGTTATGTCTTCAACCCAATATCTCTACAATACACCCTTTCAGACAAAAAAATGTTAAATTCAAAATAAAGGGACTTTCTACGATGTATTCCTTACAGTAAGGGGAAGGCTTTGGAACATAATTTAGACAAGAAACTTACACAAAATATAATAGTTAAACAAATTGATTAAATGTTTAAAAGGAAATGTACTTTTTGAGTGGCCTGTCAAACATATTTTGAGGGGGTTGGATTGTGCAGGACCATCGTGGACTCCTGATCTTGGTATTTCTACATTCCTGGCTCACCCAGTGTATGCTGGGACAGGCAAAAATGAATGGATTGATGGATGAAAAAGTGTTAATATTTAAAACAAACATGCCATTGTATTTGTGAATATTAATCATGAATTAGTGTTAATCATAGTTTTAAGAGCAAAAGTAAGCAGCCTATTGGAGTGGCACACAGGTGTGGACATTAGTGTGTGGGTGTCATTGGTTGTCACCTTGACTATGAAGCAACTGAAATGTATTTCGATAGCAGTGACTGCCAGTAAATTTATGAACCAACTAAAATTACTAAGCAGTAAATCTGTGGCAGTGTGCTGAGTTTAATGGAAAAATGAAAGATGCCGGCCTTCACAACTATTCTCTGAATCATCTGATGTGCAAGGGATGTTTGTACAAAGGTGTAGAGTAGGGACATAGAAATACTTTACTCTGATTTAGTATATAAGTGCAGTTACTTTCATCTTCCATCGTCTGGGTCTTCTTGTTATATAGCAGAATGTCAAACTCTTGATGTGTGCCTTCTTCTCACTTCTCACATTAAATTAAAAAAGCTGTAATTTTGATGATAAACCAGGAGGATTAAATAGGTTAAATGGATTAAACATTAAGATACCAATGTACTATAATTTACAATACACTGACAGAAAACACTTCTTGTGTAACATCAGAAACAGAATCCATCTGATTGTCCTTCCTCCCTCCTCTCCAGGTGTGGCAGATCCCAGATCACTCACTGACCCGCCCCATCTCCGACCCCATTGTCGTCCTGGAGGGACACTCCAAACGTGTCGGTATTGTCACCTGGCACCCCACCGCACGCAACATACTTCTCACTGCGGGTAGGACAGACAGACAGACACACACACACACACACACTTGTTTCCTTGAAAGTTGTATAAATGTTTGACTTGATGTAAACAGTTAGGAGTGTGAGTACATTCAAATGTCCATCCTTTGCTCTCCCCAGGCAGTGATAACCTGATTATAATCTGGAACGTGGGGACAGGCGAGCCCCTCATCACCATGGATGACCACCCAGACCTCATCTACAGCATCAGCTGGAACCGAAACGGCAGCTTGTTTTGCACCACCTGTAAGGACCGACGTCTGCGTGTCTGCGACCCACGCAAGAGGGAGGTGGTTGCGGTGAGTGAGTAGAAAATACTAATAAATACATGTCTCACAGTATAATTAATTCCAATACAATAACACCACGATGAGCGCAACATATTAGGGGTATATTATTTGTATCTGTTTGTATCTGTTGAACACTGATACTGGAAAGGACCCATTAAAGTAATAGTTTGATATTTTGGATTAATTGAGATGAGACGATTGATACCAGACTCATATCTGTCCTTTAAATATACGGCTACAGCGAGCAGCCTGTTAGCTTAGCACAAAGACTGGAAACGGGGGAAACAGCTAGTCTAGCTCTGTACAACTGTATCAAAATCAGTCTACCAGCACCTTTACAGCTCACCAGTTAACATGTTTTACCTTGCTTCGTTATATCTGGACGTTTTTCAGGGGTTATGACTATTTGTTGGCTGGGAGAAGTAACTTCCTTCAGTTTTTGTACGGATTTAACGAAAAGCAATAGAATATCTTAGTTACTGAGCTTTAGAGTTGATGATAGGCGGATTTTGATAACTTAAGACAGAGCCAGGCTAACGGTTTCATGTCTTTATGCTAAGCTAAGCTGGCCAGCTGCGTACCTTTACGTTTAAACGGACACACACAAGAATACTGATCAGTACTAATTCATCTAACTCAACCAAATAAGCGTATTTCCCAAAATGTTGAACTATTCCTTGAATACATAAAGCACAGTGTTTATATTATACATCATTAGATTAACAATTCAATGGTTGTGTACAGGTTTGTTGATGTAAAGCCACTGACATTGGAATACGCACATACAGTCCAATAAACACCTAAAAGGTTTGAAAAGGTGAACAAGGAAGTAACTCTTGTCTGTCCCTCGTCCGATCGACAGGAACGTCTGGCTCCACATGAGGGTATCCGGCCAATGAGAGCCATCTTCACCAGAGATGGAAACATTTTCACCACAGGATTCACCAGGATGAGCCAGAGAGAGCTCGGACTCTGGGACCCGGTAACAAACAATAACATTTCATGTGCTGTTCATGGACATGAAAAGGTGCAGAAATGTACATGCACTTACATGCAAATTGTGGGCTTTTGTTCATCCTTTTTACTCTCCACAGACAAATTTTGAGGAGCCCATTGCACTGTTGGAATTGGACACAAGTAACGGAGTGTTGCTACCATATTATGACGCAGATGCAAACATGGTCTACCTCTGTGGAAAGGTACAGAGATCCTGGTTTATTGGTTCTAATCATGTTTGTAAAAGTACTGTGTAATATATACAGAAGTGTGTGCAGAGTCATTATGTTTCCAGCCTTAATAATGACACGTTATTGACATATTTTATATGTGTTTGTCTGTGTTTGTCTGTAGGGGGACAGCAGTATCCGTTACTTTGAGATCACAGATGAGCCACCATATGTCCACTACCTCAGCACCTTCAGCACTAAGGAGCCCCAGAGAGGGATGGGCTTCATGCCCAAGAGAGGTGTGGACGTCACCAAATGTGAGATCGCTAGGTGAGATACAAATCAGCATTGTTTCATGGGATTGTATTTGTTTGATGGGATGTAAAGGCTACAGATGTTGCATGAGAGTCGTGATACAGCTCAAAGTGCTGACCATTTGTCTTCTTTACAACCATTTGTCGCTTTTTTCCGTGTTTTGGCATTCCATTATTTTACATTATTTTACCCTCCAGAGTATAGGTTAATGGCATTTCCAAATATGTTAAAGTTGTTGCACTGTCCATCACTGAAGATATGGTCCATTAATGAATTGTCTATTTACATATTTGACATTGCATTTATATCCAGTTTCCCGATTTACACTTATTCTCTTATCATTACTGAACTGTGACCCCTGGTGTGTATAAGATCATTTCAGAGTAAGTAATAATAAGTATAAACTGATACACTCATGTGTAACAAAAGCACAACTGATGGGTCTCTTATCTCTCTGCTCTGTCTCATCTCTTAACGTCCTCTTAGGTTATTCAAGCTCCTTGACAAGAAGTGTGAACCCATCACAATGACAGTGCCCAGAAAAGTAAGGTCATACTCTACAAGCGTTTTACTTTACAGTGGTGGAGGATTACTTTTACACTTACATTTACACAAATGCGGTACTTTAGTAAGATTTTGAGATACTTTTATTTTATTTACATCTTATGCTTCTTCATATTCTTCCACTGCATTTCAAGGGGACATTTTTTTTCCCCAAAGTTACAGTTACTTGTTAGCTTCTGGTCAATATTTTTCATACAAAAAATGCGATTTGTGATGCATTGTTAAGGATTAAACTCCCAAAAAGTATGTAACGCAATTCAAATTAGCCTCACCTTCACCAGCTACAACATTAATGAGCTGCTTGTTTCAATGCTTCAATGATTTGTTTTGTTGTTTCCAATAATTTCTGTAGTTTTACGTAAATATTTTTTACTTTTACGCAGTGGAGCAATTTTATAGTGTGGTATTTCTACTTTCACTAAAGCAAAGGATCTGAAGACTTCCACTACTGAACTTTTAATTGATTCTCATTCCCACAATATGCTCTTTGAGTCTTATTCATTTTCCCTTGATTGTTTTGTTTTATTTTGATACTGTTTCCTTCTCTGCTGTGTTTTCATCTTATCTTCCACCCATCCTCCAAGAAAGACAAATACAAATAAATGAATCATTTTTATCAACCACTGTACAGTAAATTCCCAAAACAAAAAAAACAAAACCACATCTGTCGCTCTTTCATTCGTCATTGCCAACTCCCTTTCACAGTCGGATCTCTTCCAAGATGACCTGTACCCGGACACAGCGGGGGCCGAACCCGCCATGGAGGCTGAAGAGTGGCTGGATGGTCGTGATGAAGATCCAATACTGGTGTCCATGAGGGAGGGCTACATGCCGCCCAAGAGCCGGGAGCTCAAAGTGGCAAAGAAGAACGTGCTGGATTCCAAACCCACCACCCGACGAAGCATGTCCACTTTGGACACCAACAGTCTGCCGGTAAGTTGTGGCATTATAATACCTTCAGATACCTACTATTACATTTTTAATAAAAAAAAGACTCAATTTAGGTTTTCAGCCTGTAATCTGAATGCACAGTTACTCCTGAACATCTGCCTCTCTGTTTAACACGTTTCTGTTTATTTCTTCTCTGTTTGTACCTGCCCTCAACTTTTTTTCTCCAGAAGCTCCCTTCTTTGTTTTGGTTTATTTCTCCTAGTTGCTCACTGTCCTTGACCTATTTTTCATCTTTTTTTCTTTATCCTTAATTTCCCCCTCCCTGTCACTGTCTTTTTTCCTCTCTTCTTCTTCTGTTTCCCTTTTTTCCTTCTCTCCACTCTCTTCCCATCCAGCCTGAGCTGCTTGAGAGGCTGTTGGAGGAAATTCATAATCTAAAGGCCACAGTTTTGTCCCAAGAGAAGCGAATCTGTGATTTGGAGAATAAGCTTTCCCAGTACACCAATGGCACTGACTGACATGCATGACACACACCTTTTGAAGAACTGGTCTAAATTTTTGAATATTTATAGGATTAACCACTCAAGAAGTCCAACAGTGTTTAAAAGATACCATTGTGTAAGAATATGAATGTGGACATTGTAAATGTTAATTGGCAGTCCAACAAATTTGAATAAATTACATCTGTACTAATACAACACTGTCAGAGAAGAACAGGTCTACAAAAAGTAGCAAAACTTAAATGACAGAAAAATACTTTTCTGCATGAAATGGATTGAGTCTTTTTTGTTAAGTTGAATCTACAATCTCCTCAAACGACACAGTACACAGACATCACCATAAAAGACTCAAGCAAGCACACACACTCAGCACATGTATTTGCCTCGTCCCTCCGTATCAAACAACCACTGACCAGTTCATTAAATCTCTCTGAAAACTTTTAAAAATGTAAATAGTGATAAAAGGAAACAGTAGAAGGATTATACATTAGACACATTATGACAACAATAAAAAAAATGTGTTTTTTAATAATGTCTGCCTCTTCTGTCTGTTGGTGCTGCTTACACACAAAAAATATTCCCCACCATCGGGTTCAGGTCAGGTTTCAACTCTAGCGTTCTGGGTTTATCAGAGCTTTCCTGCTGCTTTTTTCGCTGCTGCCTTCGACCTGCAGTTGGAAGCTCTGGTGAGAGGAGGAAAGCAGCTGCTCCTCCGGCCATTTGAAGAACTTCTCCAAGCCGCTCCACCGGTCCCCGCTAGCAGTCAACACTGACACCTCGCTGCTGGGCCCACTGGAGTGAAGGAAGGCGCAGAAGAATCAGAACCAGGATTATGCAGGGTACACTGTCAGACCCGCTGCAGTAAAATTTGAGTTTTTTCTAAAGGGAATCTGGTGCTCTGAAACACTACCACTTTTGTCCACAAGAACCTCCAAAATCAACACAAAATTAAAGTTCCCTGTAGTAGCTTTAACTAACAACGTTGACATGGAGTCACTGGTTCCCCAGTTCTGTCAGAACATGGAGCCCTAATAGCACTATGCTTGGGCAAAGAACAGGTAACTGAATTAAGGACACAGAGAAAGGAAAGCAGATGGTGAACCTTAATAGAAAGTGTACATTTTGGAAGCGGCTGCAGGAGTTCTGGTCAGAAGATCATTGGTGCCTGCCGTTGCTGCAGCCTAAGAACCTGCTGGTGGACAGTGAATCAATAGGCCTTTTGGGCTTGGCTTACCCAGCTGAGGTGGTTGCCATAGCAAAAACGGTTCTATACTATGACTTGTTTTCGAAATATTATATAGGCCTATTGGTCTTTTGAAGGACATTTTTTAGGTAAAATACAATGGTTTTGGACATACTATGCTATGACTTTTTATGATGTTTTTTCGACATTCTAAATTTTGATTTTTAATGACTTTTTCAACATACTATACTATGACTTTTTTTCGACATATATATATATCGACAAATATAAACATATGTACCTCATTTGCAGCATTGCACCAGAACACACCGCCAGAAAGTGAGCTCTCTTATGAAGCAAAAGGTATCTTATTATTTCCTACCCGGGCATCCAGGATGCCACAGAATTACCGTAAACGTTACATCAAATAGTTTCCTCACAATGAAGCAAGAACGTCCGCGGTTACCCTCGACTTGACACCTGTAACTTCAGTCACCATGTGGCTCCTGTGGTCACATCACACGGCGACATGGGCATACGGCTGCACTGGAATTCACTCGCAATACCAATGTGTTCCAAACGCCACACAAAGAGTAACAACCCGTTGCAAAAGAGACAAAGGCCAGACTCATACTGACTTTTTATGATTTTTTATGACATATTATACTATGACTTTTTATGACATACTGTACAATTACTTTTTTTGGGACTTTTTATGACATACTATACTATGTACTTTCATAACTTTTTTTCACACAATACAGTGATTTTTTAAAAATAAAACACAACAATATAACTTTTTAAAGACTTTTTATGACTGTAGCTTTTTCTAACATACTATACCATTTTCTTTACTTTTTAATGGCCTACTCTGCCATGACATTTTTGATGACATTTTATGACTAAATATGCTGTGACTATATTTTTTAAAGGCATGCAAACTTTTTTTGACCTTTTATGATATACTATAGTATGATATGTTGTCTTGACACGTCTATGGCATACTAAGTAATGGCTTTTTTGACATTTTTAGGGCATTCTATATGATTTTTTATGCCATACTTTATGGCTTTTGAACTATGATTTTGGGTAGCACTTTATAATAACTACACACTATGAAGCATTAGTTAAGTATGAGTAAACACTTAATTCATCATTTATAAAGCATTGTTCCTACATTAATAATTCATTAGTATGCAGTTCATAACAACAGTTGTAAATGTTTTATTCTTGATTAATAAGCCCATCTATTATGTGTTTCATTATTGTGTTTTCATACTTTCTAAATGATGGATTCCCCATTTGTAAATTAAGTATTATATATTTTACAAACCAATTATTAAGGAGTTGTAGATGATTAATAGGATCATTTATAGTGTTAGTAAATGATTAATAACTTATTTAGATGTACATTATTCATTTGATCACGTTGTGTTGTGTCTATTTGCCTGTTCTGTTCAAAAACGATGTGTTTTGAGGCACTGCTGGCCTTTCAATGTCATTTATAAATGCTTTGTAAGGCATAGATAGTCCTCACTTTAGATGAGGTCACACAAAATACTTAATAAATGCTTTATAAGGCATATATAGTCCTCACTTTAGATGAGGTCACATAAAACACTTTACTAACGAGTAGTAACTACCTTAATATATCATGAATTAATCATGAATTGCAGTATTAATAAGCGTTTATAAAGCATATATTAACATAGTCCCTAACCATTATATATATAAATGCATGAATAATGTACATCTAAATAAGTTATGAATCATTTACTAACACTTTATAAATGATCTTATTAATCATCTACAACTCCTTAATAATTGGTTTGTAAAATATATAATACTTCATTTACAAATGGGGAATCCATCATTTATAAAGTATGAAAATACAATAATGAAATGCATAATAGACGGGCTTATTAATCAAGAATGAAACATTTATAACTGTTGTTATGAACTGCATACTAATGAATTATTAATGTAGGAACAATTCTTTATAAATGATGAATTAAGTGTTTACTCATACTTAACTAATGCTTCATAGTGTGTAGTTATTATAAAGTGCTACCTGATTTTGTTATTACAGAAATAACAGAAAAATATTACGACAGAAAAATTCTTTCTGCCTGGAATCATCTGGGATTGGTAAGTTGCATCTAAAAACTCCATAAATTACATAGTTTAAGAAACATATCGCCATGAAAGACAGACATCAAGCAAAGACCACACACTGAATCAGATGATCACTGACCAGTCTATTAAGTCTCTCTGGAAATTTAATTAGTAATACAAGGGAAACAGGAGAAAAAATGTGAAAAGCAGAACACTTTGTGTTTTTTGTATGATGATTATACATTCGACACATTATAACAACAATTAAAAAACAGTGTTTTTTCATCATTCCTGCCTCTTCTGTCTGTTGGCGATGCTCACACACACAAAAACAGCCATTGGGTTCAGGTCAGGTTGCAACGGTGTCCAGTGGGTTTCCCCTGAAAACAATTGTGTTCTAAAAATCTGTGTTAATTAGAAGAGTGAGACTGAACTATGCACAGTAAAACCTACAGTGAGCTAAAACCGCTTAAAGTTGTGAGTTTGCTGCTACAGGTAACCCTTTTCACAGTACACACAGTTAATTGATTCAATGTATAAAGAATATACATTAATGCAGCTTGAACTATTTACCACTTTGACATGGAGTCAATAGATGCCCAGTTCTGAAAGTATGTGGAGGCCGAATACCACTATGCTGAGGCAAAGAGGTAACTGAATGACTTTTGTGGAAGAAGAGAAAGCAGCTGCTGAACCTCCCCGATAAGTGTACACACAGGTGCCGACATTACCCACTCGATCCACAACCAGCAGCTCCATTTCAGGTGAACAGCAAGACGAAATGTAGGAAACCAGTGTTATGTTCTCATTGCCAGGGGCCAGGCTGGAGGTCATGGTCCCGTTGCCCTGTCTGAGGCTGACACGCTCAACACCTGTCCCTTCAGTCCCATCAGTCACCTGAACAGAGAGCTCCCACATCGATAAGCTGCAGATATCAGAGCAGTTTGACTGCAGGCTGAGCAGCTCACACACAGGAGGAGTAAAATCAGTCACCTATGAGGAGAACAAAAAGTAGATATATAGTTTTTTTATAATATATTCCCTATAATCAGTAACAAATTACATCTAGGAAGTTACAAATCTGTAAAACAAAGAATTGTACTTGTAAATGGGATTCTTTAGCGTGAGGATTACCGTGTTAAAGATGGTGAAACGCAGCACAACATAGTTTGTATCTTCACCACCAGGAGCCTCGACCTCAATATTCAGGGTGACGTCAGAACCAGATGGGGTGTTAAGAGGTGCTGAGAGGGTCACTGTATCATCAGCACTACTCCCGGTTTCCAGGAATAAATTGGTTGGAGATGTTGAGTTAAATTGTCGGTTGTTGGTGGCTCGGATGGTGAAGTTTCCCCCGACTCCAGTGGTCATCACAGAGAAGGGCACAGAGAACGGTGTTCCTGGTACCAAGATCCTTTCAGAATCAGCCTGAAAACAGAGGGGATCAAACAAGGACCAATGTTTGTGATGATGATTTAAGTGAACATTACAACAATTTTTAGTTGCTGCATCTCCTCTCATGTTTGATGTGATGTTCCTGTGACACAGTGATGGTCTAGGTACTCACCATAACAGTCAGATTAGAGGCTCTGAAGTTGGTGGATGACTGCCTTTGGAAGACTATCAATGGAGCTCCGGGGGCAACACTCTCCTGCCCCTTCACCCGCACCACAAACTCCACCGACGGCATCATGTCAACATGAACTAAGAAGCTTCCACCCCCCTGTGGCTCCACGACTCCTTTAAT